TTTGTTAGTAATTTGTTGTCCCTTTTTGCCCTTTTTCCGTATGGGTTACTAAGTTATATGAAAATGAAACACAATATTGAAAGATGTATGTCTATTAGCAACTCAAAACTGTTTTGTTTTGAAGAACAATGGATTTCGTGGAAAAATATTTTTGAACAATGGAAGATAATGTGACAGGTTTTTGCTATTTAGTTTATGATAGAAACAATTGTTGATCAGCTGATTACTATGAAGCAACCTCCATATTAATTTAACATGCAAATGGATGTATGAATGGGTGTGTGAGTGCTATATATCCATTGTAATTTTGCTGCTTATTCAATTTGATTTTGTATGTAATACAATGGATAATAAAAAAAAATCCTAATCCAATCATTCTCTCTCATTTCTACTATCACAGGTCTTTACCAGACTCCATTGAAAGAAAACCTGGAAGCCTGTTCAGGTTTTTGAATGTTTGACATATCTTATTTCAGTAAGTTGAGGAAACAGGATGGATTCTTTTAATTCCTTAGGCAATTTTACTTGTCAATGTCTGAGTATTACTTTTTAGCTCACCTGAGCCAAAGGTTCAAGTGAGCTTTTCTCATCACATTTGTCTGGCATTTGTCTGTCTGTATGTAAATTTTTTCACATTTTTGACTTCTTCTCCAGAACCTCTAGGCAATTTCAACCAAACTTGTCACAAAGTATCCTTGGGTGAAGGGGATTCAAGTTTGTTCAAATGAAGGGCCACGCCTTCTTCCAAAGGGAGATAATTACAAATTAGTGAAAAGTTAATGGTCTCTTTAAAAAAAAAGTTCTTCTCAAGAATCACTGGACCAGGAAAGATGAACTTAGTGGAGACATCCTCAGATAGTGTAGATTTTAATTTGTTCTGCTTCAAATTATGACCCCCAGGGATAGGATGGAGCCAAGTTGTGTGATCAAAGTTTTACATAGGGAAAACATAGGAAAATTCTTTAAAATTCTTCTTCTCAAAAACAGCAAAGCTGTGACTGGTCTTATAAAATTTATATGGAAGCATCCTCAGGTTGTGTAGGTTCAATTTTGTTCAAATCATGACAACCAGGGGTACATTGGGGCCTGAACTGATCCAAGTGGCTCCGGAGTGGAGTGGGGGCCATAGGCTTCCCCATTTCCTCATCCAAGGATGCCTCTTTGTCCTCAGCTGAGAATAGTTCTGGCAATTGCGGCGTCTCAAAGCGCACCCTTAGCCTGCGCTGCTTGGACCTGCACCGCATACAGGAGGGTGGTAGACTAGCCCCCTGCTCCTTACTCTCTGAGTCCGTCCTCTCTGGTGACTGTTCCAGCGTCATAAATCGAACCACCTGGGAGGGCCCTCTCTGGGATCCAGGCTTTCCACTTCTTGGTCCCCTCTCCTGGGACTCTGGCCTACAAAATCTCTCACCAAGGGGTCCCTTCATCTGGGCTCCACCCCGCTGCCAATCATTAGCTTCTGTCTTCCCAGCAGCTTGGGTGGGGCAATCTCTATGGAAATGCCCCACCTCTCCACACTTAAAATACACAGCAGGCTTCTGGTCTCGCTCTGCCAATCTGGTTGTGGGGTACCAGTCCTCTGGAGTGTTGGGAGGGGGGAAATCCTTTCTGCTGAACGGCTTGTTCCAATCTTTCCATTCTGCTCCGGAGAGCTTCCAGCTCCTCCGCCGCAGAATTTACTGTCCTGGGATCGTCTTGTTCAGTGTCATCACCGGAGATCAACTTCTGCAGCTCTTTCTTGGCTTTAGGCCTATGTAGCCGGTAGTGCTGGTAGTATTGCATTTGATCCATGGCTTCCTCCATGGTCCGGGGATGCCAGTCAAGTGCATAAAGGCCAGTATCTTGGTCCTCAGCTCCATAACACAGCCTAGGTATGGTGTGTGTGTGTGTGTACATCCGGCACACAAGGGAAGGCTCGCGTTGCCAAGGTCAGCACCCTGTCTACCTACTGACGAAGTGACTCTCCCGGATTCTGATTGGCAGCCTGGAAGTTAAGTTGATAAGTGAGATCGGGGGGCAGAGGAGCCAAAACACTTCTCAAATCTCTGCAAGATCTCACCTCAGGGGAGCTGGCTACTGGTTTCTAACAGCAAGGCATAATTCTCACTTGCTGCCCCTTCAAGGGAAAAACAGAAGTGGTCGTGCTGCTCCTCCTCAGTCCACAGCTGGCTGCGAGAAAACCTAACGAACTTGTGCAAAAATGCCTTCCAGCTGGTCTTACCATCATACGTAAGGTCCTTATACCGGGGCTTACTCCCAGTGGCTTCACTACCTGGGTATTGTGTGGTGCCCTGGTAACCTGGTGAGCCATAATGTGTCGGTGCACTGAAGTTGCGAGCCTGGTTAACCGGGACTGACTGACTAGCATAGTATCCTGGCTGAGTTGCCCCATACAAGTTTGGCTGTACATGAGCTATCCTCTCCCCCTCCCTTTTAAAATGGCAGGCAGGAGTATCAAGATGGGCAGGGCCACAAGTTATTGATACGGGAACACTATGGTGCTGTAATACACTGGGCATAGCCATACCATGGGGTGTAGCTTGAGTATTCTTGCCTCGGTACAACACAGACTGGGCATCGTCGGGCAGTGAGGGTTGGGCTTGCCCACCCCAGGGTTGACAGCAGATGAGGGTGCATGGTTAGGCGTGCTTTTGAAAGTAGCATATAATGATACAGGTTGGGGTTTAACAGCAGTCATGCCAATATCTGAAGGCCAGAGACTAGGTTACTATCTGCTTCTGACTGAACCAGCGCTGGGGACGCTCCAACATTAACAGGGGCTGTGGCAGACATAGTGTGTGGCATTGAGCTCCAGGGTTGCAAATCATCCCCAGGAAGAGAGGACACACTAAAGTCCGCAGGTCTAGGCTGGATCTGTACAGACACTGGGTCCCAGGTAAGCCCTGTAGGGTAAACAGGCCTACGATCATACTTGGAAGTGAGCAGTGCAGGCCTCAAAGGCCTCTCCAGTTGTTGACTTTGACACGGTGTATGAGGTGAAAGGGTGGGGTCAAGTGGGTGGGGTACTTTACCTCACCCAAGCGGCTTGGTCTATAACCAATGGTAGCAGGGCCCCCCAGGTTAGCTGTGTCTCCCACAAGGATAGGGTGGCTGCTAACTGAATACACAAGGTCTACAGAATATGGATGCTCTAACCCTGGATTCAAGGGAACCTCGCTATACTAGTCTTTAGGTGGGGTACAACCCACAGTGCTTTCAGGTGAGCCACACTTACACAAGATACCTATAGAGGACCCAAGGGAATTACTTGACATCATCCCTGGTGAGCTAAATTGGGGCTGGGCAAACCTTCCCTCTTTCCTTGACATACCATGTAACACACTACCATCCCCACAGGGGATGCCCGAGTGCAGGCTGTCCTTGTAGCCTACTCTCTGTTTAAATTTCTTGATGAAATCCGGTTCATCGTCTTTGACACATGACATTTTTTTCCTTTCGACATTGTAAACAATCATCACGTTTATTGTACAACTTAGCTAATAAAATTTAACGGTTACTAGACAGTTCATACCCTTAACAGTTAGGACCTACAAATCAATCTGATTCAGTTGAATAAATTTAACTTGCACATTATTTTTTTTATTTTCAAAAACAATACGGTTTGGACAATATTTTAAGATTAACAATACTTATAGGGGGAGACAATTACCGAACAATTCTGTGGGTAGACAAATTAACATGATACCTAGAAGACCGACCAATATCATATAGGGAAAAGAGAACCAATTATTTTCCCATAGAACTCTATACAAACCTTTTGCCCTCTCAGTACTCTACTAATTCAATTTCAGACAAATCCTTGGCACCATTTGAAACTTTATTCTAAGCGCCTATAAAAAAGCCTGAAAAAAATATAGGGTCCTATGGCGTTTATAAGTCAAAATTGCATTGTTTACAACTTATAGCGTTTGGCAGTAAATGACACTCTGCCAAAAATATCAACCCCAACTTCTACAATCCCCCCTGGTATTTCTATATTCTCTGTAATATTCCTACATTCCATCATTTATTTCAAACATTAATATTTTTACTTTAAAATGAAAATAATTACATTGTACATACCTGAATTCAGCCAATCGGGTGACACACACTATTCAGTACTCTATACTACTTTGTGTAACAAACAAAACCACGTGTACATCCGGGGATTTGGTACTCTCATTCCTATACTTACATATTGACCTATCCCAGAATTAGTCAATTTTGTTATTTTCAAAGACCTTATACTTACCAATGTTTATGTGTGAAAATTGAGGCCTGTCACTTCAGTTTCTTGGAAACTGTGACCATCTTAATTAATGACACCTCCCTGCTGCAAGTAGTGTTCCAGGGAATGAGTTAATTTCATTCCTGTGGTCAGACCTGGATATAGTTGTGACTGTAATGAATATAATATTTATACAATTGCATGGTTTTGTTTTTTGATGTTAATAATATAAAGTCACATTTGTGTCAACTTTTTCATAAGGGTGGATTCTACCCAGAATTTGAAAAAAAGCTCCAAAATTTGATAAATCATGGCTAATTAAGCAAAATTGAAAGTTTTTAAAAAGAGTGATTCAGAATTTTTTTGAAGCTTATGAGAAGTAAATAATTTAAGACTCTGATGTACTAACTGACTCTTATCTAACCCCTCCTGTTAAATAAGTATGTGCAAAGAAGTTTTACCACCCCTCAGTGAAAGGCACTTAGAGAAATAGCAGGTGCCCCTATTATGTTTGTTTACAATTGATTTAGACAGAGCAAGTTTATCCTTTTGATAACAAATTAAAGTTCAGTCTCTGTAGTCTTAAACAGTACTAATCATAAGCTACATTATTGAATTTTATGCCTAGAAAAGAGGAATTCAGGTCAATTTTAAAAAATCAAGATATGCAATAAGTATTACTTCAAACCCCAAAATGTACCTCACAATAATAGGCTGGAAAGTGAAAAGATGGAAAATTTACCTGCAACGTACAGAAAAATGTCCAGCAAAATACATCAGGTGGATAGCGAGTCTCCGTATTCTTCTTATATAGAGAAAAAGCTCATGCGGATCAATTTATGACAAATGTATTGTGCAACATCCTCATATGACACACACATCACATGACATCTTCCTATTGCATACAAATCATGTGACATCCTCCTATGACACAATGTCATGTGACATCCTCCTATGACACAATATCACGTGACACCATCCTATTACACAATTTCATGTGACATCCTCCTTTGACACAATGTCATGTGGCATCCTCTTCATCTTCCTGGTTAAATGACAACAGACTTGAGTTCTTGACAGCCTTCCCTGACTTCTTCTCTCCTTCCTCTTCCTTCTTCTCTCCTTTCTCTTCCCTCCTCTTCTTTGCTGATGATTTTAATTCTGTTGCCTCCTCCCCGCTCCTCTCCACCGGCTTCTTAAAGGTGATCTTACCATCAGCTATGGGTTCTGAGGAGAGAAAACATATCAACATTTCACTTAAATCATATAGGATGATGCACACATAGACTTGTACATGTAATATCAAGAATAAGGTATGGAATATATGAAAAATATATAGAAAATGTATTGTACACATATGATAAAGGATTAACTAGAGAAAAAGAACAAAATGCCCTTGACCCCCAACATTCACTTGAACAAAATTGTAGTGTTGTAGTCTTTGGTTTGTAGTCTTGCTGTATATTGTACATTGTGTATTGTATATTACAGCATTAATCTGAATAATCAAGTCCTGACTCAGATTTGAATGCTTCAGAATTCATTAAGACAGTAAACATTAACATGTCATTTTTTATGGGAATGTTACTATATAGGAGTCTCTGATGATACTGTAGCTTTACAGTTTCAGGTATTTCTCACACATGAATATATGTTGGGATACAGTACGATATACACACCTTCATTTTTGGTTTACAGTATTATATACACACCTTCACGGTTTACAGTATTATATACAAACCTTCCCTCTTTGGTTTACAGTATATATACTCACCTTCACAGTTTAAAGTATTATATATACAACTTCCCTCTTTAGTTTCCAGTATTATATACACACCTTCCCTCTTTGGTTTCCAGTATTATATACACACTTCCCTCTTTAGTTTCCAGTATTATATACACACCTTCCCTCTTTGGTTTACAGAATGATATACATGCCTTCACTCTCTGGTTTACAGTATTATATACACACCTTCATGGTATACAGTATTATACACACCTTCACTCTTTGGTTTATATTATTATATACACACCTTCAGTCTTTTGGTTTACAGTATGATATACACACCTTCAGACTTTTGGTTTACAATATTATATACAGTCACACCTTCAGTCTTTTGGTTTACAGTATGATATACACATCTTCAGTTTTTTTGGTTAACAGTATTATATACACACCTTTAGTCTTTTGGTTTACAGTATTATATACACACCTTCAGAGTTTAAAGTATGATATACACACCTTCAGATTTTTACAGTATGATATACATATCTTCATAGTTTATAGTATTATATACACACCTTCGCTCTTTAGTTAACAGTATTATATACACACCTTCATTCTTTGGTTTACAGTATTATATACAAACCTTCAGGGTTTATGATACACACACCTTCACTCTTTGCTTTACCAGTCAGGGGTGAGACTGAAATCCATCATTTTTGAAAAATGATGGATAAGCGTCATATTTACTAAGTACGTATTTTCGTTATTTTTTGTCAATATGACTTACTATCGTCATATTTTCTTTTTCAACTTAATTCTTCTATCCTGGTTACATGAAAGCGAAATTTGAATTCACCGCTGAAAGAAGAGTGTTTACGCAAGTTTCATTTCATCCGGGTCACTAATTACTGCCGACCACGTGCGTTAGAACATCAACATGGAAGGTGAAAGTTATTATTTAGCGGTAAAATGTCGAATTTTGGTAGAACTAATTCGCCATTTTTACATGGCTTTTAGCCCTATAAAAACATATAGTACACCGTCTGGAAGAATACGTACTTGTAGAGAAAAGTCTCGACAAAAAGTTAAAGCCATAAAAAAGTAGTGCGCCCCGTAAAACAAGCGAGATATTTCAGTGCGCCCAGACCCTCCATTTTGAAAAAAGACGGAATATCATCATTTTCGTCTTCTTTCCTATTTAATGCAAATAAATTGACAAATAACTCTTCCACTCTTATTTTTGCTTGGGAAATTTATACTGTCAACATAACCAGTATTGTAGTCAACTGTATTAGAGAAATGAAGTTCGTTTACGATGTTTTTTGTCCTTTTTTCGGTTGGTGGATCTAACATTTTTCAAAGAGAGGTAACTCGGTATTCTAGAAACACTCTAAATTTTTATGACTGTTTTTCGTCATTTTCTTAAAAATGACGAGTTTAAGTCATAATAAAAATTTTATTTTATGGCTTAAAATCGTCATTTTAAAAATGACGGATTTCAGTCTCACCCCTGACTGTTTACAGTATTATATACACACCTTCCCTCTTTGGTTTACAGTATGATATACACACTTTCACTCTTTGGTTTACAGTATTATATACACACCTTCAGTCTTTTGGTTTACAGTATGATATACATACCTTCATGGTTTACAGTATTATATATATACCTTCACTCTTTGTTTTACAGTATTATATACACACCTTCACTCTTTGATTTAGAGTATTATATACACACCTTCACTATTTGGTTTACAGTATGATATACACACCTTCATGGTTTACAGTATTATAAACACACCTTCCCTCTTTGGTTTACAGTATGATATATACACCTTCACTCTTTGGATTACAGTATAATAAACACACCCTCAGTCTTTTGGTTTACAGTATGATATACACACCTTGAGAGTTTACAGTATGATATACATACCTTCAAGGTTTACAGTATGATATACACACTTTCAAGGTTTACAGTATGATATACACATCTTAACAGTTTACAGTATTATATACACACCTTCACTCTTTAGTTTACAGTATTATATATACACTTTCACTCTTTGGTTTACAGTATTATATACACACCTTCATGGTTTACAGTATTATATACACACCTTCACTCTTTGGTTTACAGTATGATATACACACCTTCACTCTTTGGTTTACAGTATTATATACACACCTTAACGGTTTACAGTATTATATACAAACCTTCACTCTTTTGCAGTCTCTCCACCTCCTCAGCACTTAGATCCCCTTCCCTCAGTTGTACAATCACTGGCTTCTCATCTTCATTGTCTGGTCTGTCCTCCTCCTCATCTTCAAAGTTTGGAATCTCATGCTGTTCCAAAAAATATTAAAACAACTCTCTGATTTTACTTTAATGATTTTTTACAGGATAATAATCCTAATCAAATCCTTCTCTCACATTTCTATTATCACAAGTCTTAACCAGACCCCATTGAAAGTAAACATGGAAGCCTGTTCATGTTTTTGAATGTTTGATATATTTAAGGTCAGTTAAGGAAATAGGATTCCTTATTTTATATTTGTTTTACTTGTCAATGTCTGAGCATTGTTTTAGCTCACCTGAGCCAAAGGTTCAAGTGAGCTTTTCTCATCACATTTTGTCTGGTATTTGTCTGTCTGTATGTAACTTTTCACATTTTTTGACTTCTCCAGAACCTCTGGGCCAATTTCAACACAATTTCAACCAAACCTGCCACAAAGAATCCTTGTTTAAATAAAGGGCCACACCTTCTTCCAAGGGGAGGCAATTATAAATTAGAGAAAAATTAATGGACTATTTAAAAAAAAAAAAAAACCTTCAATCTTCTCAAGAAATGGGCCAGGAAAAATGAAACTAAGTGGAAACATCCTCAGGTTTTGTAGATTTTAATTCCTGATTTTACTTTCGAGCTATGAATTGTGATCATTTTGAAGAGGAAATTATATGTTCTGTTGTCTTCTGCTGAAGCACTGATTGACACCTTTGGTTGTGTAAGGCCAATTGTGAACCCTATTATGGCTATGCTGCTTTTGACCCTTAGTTGACACCATATATGGATAAAAAGTACACTATTTTTTTTACATAGCATGAATCAAAGCAAACAGACCTTCAGATTATTAAGTTGACCAGTTGTCTAAGTATCTTGAGTGTGATGAAGTCAGCCCCACACTGGACTAATACTCTTGACCAAAATGACATTACATGAATTTTGTTTGAAGATTCAAAAATTCCTGTGCTCAATCTCAAAGATTCTTTTCAGTCCTATCCTTGGTGAAGAAAAGAAGACTTATGACTCATTGTAATCATGGGTGCATGGGTTTTAATGTATACAAAGATGTGCAATAGCTTATATTCAGTGTACCTGAACTGCTTATCTGTTGGATAATGGGAACATACTAAAGACCTGATACACTAAAGACCTGATATTTGACCTGATGAAAAATTGTCATATTAAATTATCAATTTAAACTTTCTATTTCTTTTTTTTAGGGAAAATTCTTGTTGATAATAGCTGATAGTAATATAATAATGCCATGTATGAAAAATTCAAAGGTATAGAACTTCCAAGACTTCAAGCTCACCCAGGATAAATTGTGGACCCTGGAGTCATGAATTTTAATAAACTGGTTCAAGTATATATTTATTGCAGAAATCAATGCACTAACCTCCCTCCCCAGGTACACACACATTTTTGTAGGTAACGGGATGTTTCGCACCTAAGCATGGTTCACGCTGCGATGTTTCGCACCAATTCCATTTCGCGCTGAGATGGTTTGCCCCACATTGTTGTACAAATATGTGCTAGCCTACTGAAGTTCGTTTAACAAAATTTTAGATTTTAAACATGTTATATGGTGTAAATTTTGATATTTTTTGAAACATTTTTTTTAATTCAAGAAGATTATATTTGTAGCAGAGACATAATTATTTATGTCTGTGTTTGAAGTATACATAGCATATAATTATGTATTATTTTAACACCATGCTAATTATAATACGGCCATCTAATTAAGTAATTATTGTTGGTTTGACTACCAACACGTCAATTAATAAATTCTCACCTTTCGATCTACAACTAATTACAATTAAATCCTCATGGAATATTTGAAGAACACGATCCGTACTCTTTGGCAGTGCATACATGTATTATTAAGTCATGCATTTGAACACACAACATCTATATATGTATATCTTATAATTGATAAACAATTTATTAAAATGGATAAAAATGTCGTGGAATATTTAAAATAAATTGTGAGATGTTTCGCACCGAAATCGGCGCGAATCATCCAGGCGCGAACCATCTCAGTGCGAAACAGAATTGGTGGCAGGGGATAGTTTCGTACTAAAGACCCGGTCAAATTTCTTAAAAAATTGAGATATCCCCTGTTTGATGTGATATTTTATGTAGAAAAATGATTAGAATAATTATGGGACACATTTGCAGTGCAGCAGAGTGCTTGCTGAAAAAAATGATGTGCAACATGTAGGTGTCACTATGACGCTTATCATATACAGAGTTGTAAATGCGAAACTAAGACACGTGGTCAGTTGCAGAGGAAATTCAGCTAAAAAGCAGTAGGCCTTAGAAGAAGGTGTGTATCTCAGAGGGAAGGTGAATGGCCCCATATCAATTGGTGAATTTTTATTAGGGCTTGCATTGATTTACAGACTACTGGGTGTTTTATCCTGCTCGCTCGGGCCTGGGGGTGGGTTGTGTGGGTGTGAATGAGGCCCAGATCTTGGAAAAACAAGCCAAAATTTGGGGAGTCCCCAGGTGCATTTTTGGTACATGTGCACTCTAATAGGCAGATTACATGTAATTTGTTGACATAATTTGTGAGCCATGGGCATATGAAGTGTAATTGATTAGCCCCTGGAAAACTGTCCCCATGTACATGTTTTTATGGATGGCATGTATATGTGTACCCCCTCGGCACATGTTTGGCATTAAAAAAAACTATCCTCTGCCACCATTGGCGCGAAACATCCCGGATTCGTTTTTGTAGAGGAAATTCGAAATAAGACGCTACAAATGAAAAAAAAAATCTTTTTGTTTTTTGTCGGAACTGTAGACTTCATTCTACATACCTTTGTATTTACTGTTGGACCCTCCTTGTAGCCTACTCTCTGTTTAAACTTCTTAATAAAATCCGGCTCATCGTCTTTAACATTTCGGCATAACGGGCATTGTAAACAATCATCACGTGTATTGTACGACTTAGCTAATAAAATGTCACGGCTACTAGACAGTTCAGACCCTCAACAGTGAGGACTGAAACATCACTTCATACAGTTTAAAATTGAATAAATTGAACTTGCACATTGTTATCTTTTTTTATTTTTAAAAGATTGTCTTTTATATTTAAAAAAAGAATAATGTTTGGACAATATTTTAAGATGAACAACGCTTGGAGGAGATAAAATTACCGAACGATTTTGTGGGGAGACAAATTGACATGATACCTATCAGACCGACCATACACTTGGAGAAGCAGATATGTTTGGTGATCAAACGTTACAGGTATTGATTGCAGACAGCAATGACTACATGCCTCCAACTAAAAGACATATCAGCTCAACACTTTCAATATTCCGAGCCTTTCTTCTAGAAAAGGGCCTGCATCTGAGCGTAGAGACAACTTACTCGTCAGAACAACTGGACGCGTTGTTGACAAGTTTCTACATGGAAATGAAGAAAGCTAACGGCCAACATTATGCTAGGGCGTCCGTGCTGAACATCCGTTCCGGTCTGCAGAAATATTTTCTGAAACTAAGAAATGAAGATATTATTCGTAGCGAAAAATATTCAACTTCCAATAAAACGTTTAAGGAGGTATTCATGAAATCCGGTGGCAAGAGGGAGGTTGAGTTTCCTAAACAGAAAATTCCTATTCATCCTAATGATGTAGCAAAACTATATAACACAGTGTTCTCAACAGATTCCCCAAGAACGCTGCAGCAAAAGACTATGTTTGAGTTTATTTACTATTTCTGCGATAGAGGCCTTGACCACATGAGGCGAGTACGGAAAGAGGATTTCACGTTCTCCAGGGACACATCTGGGAGGGAGTATGTGACCGTTAGAGAGAGATACACAAAGAAGAATAAAAAACGGAGGGAAACAATCATGCAGCCAGTCGGAATGTATGATCGACCTGGTGGGTGCAGGTTTAACACTAGGATTCATAATACAGCTGAACTTCATTATCTCAAACACTGATATCTCACATTTACTTGTAAAAACTAATGATACACCTGAGTAACCTCTTGACCTAGATTCTAACCTAATGTAATACTTGTTAGACCAAATTGTATACCCTATAGAGCTATCCAGCAAGCTGTTGAAAATTTACTTTACCCATATTTTGTAATTTGCTGTAATAGTGAGTGGCGCAAAGGGCCACTCATCACTGTGAGCTCTTAAAGCAACACCTGGGCGGAAAGAAAATTTGGATTTGGCGTATTGATTCAAATGAATTTTTTCTGCAGTAACCTGTGGTACCATAATGCTTAGCAAAAATCACGCCACAAACAACGTTCTCACAGATAGCAACAAAAATTTAACAAAAAATCACCTTGATTTCCTGTATATATAGCAGATGAATAGGGCCATCTTTAAAAAAATTGTTCGGTTGCCCTCTCCCGACTGACTGGCTAAAAATGACCTGACTGGAAACGTTTTTTAACGACCAGGAAGCAACTATTTTTTATATGTACTCTAGAAAATATAAAAAATTAGCATTGAAATTAAAATTTTCTGACAAAAAATAATTTTCTTACCTACCTACCTACTGACCCAATATTATCAGACCGAGTCAGGAGAGGGCAACCAAACATTTTTCTTAAGTTGGCCTAGTAGATTAAACGTTCTTGAATCAATTTAAAACTGTTCAGACTTTGAGCCCGGTCTAAATTAAAACTGAAAGGTGTCTACACTTGCCCTAACGGTCGCACTGTGAACATATAAGGGGTGATTTTCAAGAAATGTATTGATAATGTTCACTCTGTAAACTTAAACTGAACCTTTTTGAGATGTTTAAGAAAATATATCTGTGGAGTTCATGAACAAGAAGAATTTTATGATTTGGTAAGTTTCTATTTTTAGTAACATATTTTTAGTAACATGATAATGTTTCCTTGATTTCAGGTGATCCCATGTGCCCAGTGGCATCTTTCAAGAAATATTTGATGAAATTGAACCCAGAAAACCCCTACTTTTGGCAGCAACCAAGAAAAGTATGCAGACACTCTGATGCCATATGGTATGAAGATTTGCCATTGGGAAAAAAATCATTTTCTGCACTAATGATGAATTTGAGTGTAGAAGCCAATCTTAGCAAAAAATATTGCAATAGCAATATAAGGACCACCAACATCCAAATACTGGACAACCAACCAGAGGAGGCCTATGTAATATCAGCAATCATTGGCTGTGAAACTGACCAATCAATTAACGGTACTACAGTAACAGAAAACAAGATTTGTGATGTGCCAGATATTCTGTGTGAAAACCCTCTGATCAAAACTTTCAGAAATGATGCAGCAGCTCCTTCTGAACCTGGTCACCAAGACGCTTGTGTAAATAGTGATAATGAAATACTGGACAACCAGTCAGAGGAGCCTTCTGTAATATCAGCAATCATTGGCTGTGAAACTGACCAATCAGCTAACAGGTCACCATATCCTGGTCAACAAGACTCTTGTGTAAATAGTGATAATGAAGGAGATACCCCTATCAAGAATGAGTATAGAAATATTTTGTTTGGAGAAGCAGCTAATACCTGGAAGCAGCTGATAGGACAATTCGACTGGCTTCCTGACAGTGAGATAGCCAAACATCTGATTGAGGTGCATGAAGTTTATTGTTTGAGCAAGGGCATATGTCCTCTGGAAAGGTATGTAGATAGATGCTGAACTAACACTCAATTATTGATCAGTTACTGTACATGTAGTTCACTATATTTTCGCAACATCTTATTTTTGCAAGTTAGCTACTTACAAGGTTTGTCCGGTAAAATCGTGGACAAAGCTTTTTTCTCAGAAAATAATAGGCGCACTAAGCTGAAATTTTCAGCAGATGTTGATTTATCATATTTGAGTGCATCTTTAATGTTTTGATAAAATCAAGACAAAAATAAAGATTTTATTAAGCTTGAATGTGCACAAGGTACGGTCCTACGGCACAGGATCAAAAAACAAGGGTTTCATTTTAGGATACATGAGTACTATTTTGAAATAAATTTAAAGTATTAAATAGATAAGAATGAAGTAAAAATTATTCAGTTCTTAATCCACTATCTATTATGTTATCTTTTTGAAAATTTCAAGGCATATGCTTATTTATTGGCTGTTTCCTTAGTATTCGAAAAGGGAAAGTGATTAATACAACACACGAAAAAAGGTGACGTTTGGTAACCTTACGGTGCACCGGAGAGCAGTTCAGTTTGACTTAGATGTAGCCACGATGCCCTAAGAGACTTTAAATGAATACTGAAGAAAAGAAATATTAAAATATCACAAAATACAATTGAAATGGGAGTTTTCTTAGTGAAATCTTCTTTGATCAAGTCCTCGGGTAGAACAAAACATAGTACGGACAAACAGCTATGGTAATAGCCAAAGACGCTGTCACTGTAGGCCGTTAACAAAGTTTGACGATTTAGATGAATAATAGTGAGAATACTGTCCATAACTTACTAATAAATCTACAGAAAGTCCCATGTGTGTGCGAGATTGGTTCCTCGACATTTTATGGAGGAATAAAGGGAAACTAAAGTATGTGCATCAATGAAATTGCTAAATTTAAGTGGGACTTATCCAACATTTTTTAGCAAAGTGGAAATGTGACTCTGCTTTAGACACTTTGACATTATCATCTGTGCGACTGCGCTGTAAGGCATTTATATCTATTTGAAATTTGCTATGTATATTATTGAGGAATAATGTACTAAAGAGTTGTGAAAATTTCAGAATGCAGTAATGATTATTTCTCAGTGTAGACAACTTGTCCATGATTTTACCAGACAACCCTCATAGTATTTATTCGCGAGCTGTGGTTTCTGTTGTATATAATCCTTTATAATACAAATATAAGCGAGAATGAAATTTTCCCGAGCAGACAGACTCGCATAATCAAAAAATAAAGTTCACGCAAATAAAAAGTGATTTACAGTAATGCTAGAGGTTATGTTTTACTGACTAGTATTGATCAATTAACGCAAGAGGCTTAAATTAATTGTTGTTTTACCGACTAGTACTATACATTTATAAACTGTGTTCAAGGGTAACGTGTTTTGTTGTACCCAAGAACCAAACTGTTTGCCTAAGATTGCCTAATAATCAACATAGTTTTACGTAATATTCTTGCTTCTTATTCGAAGATTACACCTTTGTGTCACTGTATTTAATGAATTCTAACAAAATTCCTTCTTTATTCAATGACTATGTCAGATAAAATGTATCTGTATACTTATAGAACACGTGAGGCACAGAACTTTGGTTCCATCTACAGAAAAAGGAATTCAGGTAAGCAATAAATCAAATTGGGGCTAAACGATATGTCTCCTCCATGATATGACACATATCACAATACTTGTTTCACAATTCAATTTTTTCAATGATACATTTTAAAAAAGAAACAAATTTAAAGGTTTCAGAAAATGTTTATTCAGATTTCAAAATTTCAAATAAAAGATGGTGATACTATAAAGAGCACAATTTGTGCTTTTCTAGATTAAAGGTGCTTGGACACAGACTTGATATTAATATTTTCTCCAATTTTCTGTACAATTTCATGACTTGTATGTTGCTGTAGCATTTCATACTAAATCATAATAAGAATCTTATTTTATCTCGAATTAATTGAAACAAAATACAAGATATGATATTATACAGAAAATTTGAGAAAATATTAAGTTCAAATCTGTGTCTAAGTACCCTTAAAAGAGCACTTCTCTTTATGTCAATACTAGCAGTGGCAGCCTGCTCTGAAACTTTAATTTCTCCATCGCTATTTTTCCCTCACATATGTGTCAAACAATTAGAATGAGGTCAAACCCGATCTATTTCAAGGAATTAATGAACCCAATTTTAAAAAAAACTATCAAACTGAAAATCGTGATAGTGAATCGAACATTGAATCGAGCTATTATATTGAACAGTATCAATATTTTGATGAATCGTTTCAGCCCTTAATCAAATTGTCAAACTCAAATTGTCTTATCTCTGGTACGACAGGGTTCGACACTAACTTTTTTAGGTTTTAGTCCTGCCGGACTAGTGCTTCTTTACTTTTACTAGTCCGCATGCAATTTTATGAGTCCGTCAAAAAAAAAAAGAAACATCAACGTTTTGTAGCATTAATTTATAAATAAACATTTCAATATATGTTTTTATACTTTTTTAAAATAAACAAAGCATTTACGTGAAATGGCTTATTCCTAGCACAGATTCGTTAAAACCTCGCGATCAACGATAGTTTGAATAATTTAACTGTGTCTCGGGACAAGCCCTCACCACAGTTAGAATTGGCCTACGTTCCATATACTTGCAATGTAGCAAATTGGAGTGGATCCACTCCGAAATGATTTTGAAGAATACAAAAGGAATTGCACTGAAAATAACTACCAAATTAATCATAACAAACCTTTTTGAGATAATCTATGTCTTTTAACCTAAAAAATAAGCCATATAAATACGAAAATTCAACTAATTTTCTCAACGTTTTTTCCTCGCTTCAAATTTAACGCCATGTTGACATTCGAAACTCTCTGGATTGTTCATAGAAAATGCACAGAGTACGAGTCATCGCCCGTGTTTATTTTGCAACATTGCCAATACACGGAACGAATTCTACCGTTAAACCGGGTCCGTAGGACAATATCATTTTAACGATAGAACGTTCTATCTAGATCAACGAGTACGATCGTATTCCCGATCTAGTTCTTTTTCTCTTTACATTACATCCAAAATGTCTGACATCTTTCTTTTATGTGTCATATTAATTATGATCGCTAAAATGTTTTACTTCAAACCAATCAGTTGAAAAAAATATGCGCAAACTCGAAATTGTCTAACTCCCCGCCAAAAATCTAGAAAGCTAAAAATAAATGCGGGGTTTTCCAGTAAAAGTTGTGGAGAATCGGACATCTTTAAATTATTCATGTTGTTTTTCAGGAATTTTTATTGGTCCGTTCGGACTAATTAGCCACAGATTTTATTAGTCCGAATGAAAATGTATTAGTCTGAGACTAACGGACTTAGGTTAGTGTCGAACCCTGTACGATAATGACTAGAATGCACTTCTTCTGTTGTGTAACTTTTCAAGGTTTACATTCTAAGCTATTCTTTAATAAACTCCTGCAACAAAGACTTTCTATCATGTTTGAAATAAAAGTTAAGTGAGCTTAAAAATTCATTAAATGTTCCCATGACCAGTTTTGTAACAAAATTGAAATGCATGTTTACCAAAGAGCTACAAAATGAAACTGGCATTACGATTGTCTTTTTTATGAAAAAAAGCAATCAGAAAAAAAATAAATATAATTTTAAACCTTTCAGATGGGATTCCACCAAGAGAGCCAGAAGAACAAGATGACATATCCCTGCAGCTAGAGGGTATAAGTGGAATAAGACTTTCTTATATATTTGTTCTTCATATTAAAACCTCAGCACTAGTACATCGGATTCCCACAGTTGATTACACTTCATTTCTTTCTTTAAATTACCTGTTGTTCAGTTTGTACTTCCAACATCTTCAGTTCCAATTTTTAGCTCTTCTGAGCCAAAGGCTCAAAGAGCTAATGTTATGGCCATTTGTGCAGTGTGCATAAACTTTTTAGAATATGGGCCATAACTCAAGAACCCCTTGGCCAATTATTGTCAAATTTGTCACAAGGTATCCTTGGCCCAAGGGCTCCGATTTGTACTAAAACTAGTGTTGTGACCCTTAAACAAGGGGAGATAATTAGGAAAATAGAAACAAAAGTACTGGTTGCTAAAAAATCTTCTTCTCAAGAACCACTGGGCAGATTATCACCAAACTTACACAAAAGGATGAGGATATGTTGTAGATTAAAATTTGCACGGGAATCACCATGGGGTAAAGCGTGTGGTCTCAAGGTCACTTCAAAGTTGACCAAAAATTACATTTTATTAAAATGTTATTTTGCTTAATATAAGGACTAGGATCATCAAATCTTGTCAGTTGATGCATCTAAGGACCTCATATCATGTTGACTCAAAAGTAGGTCACGGTGGCCTACTTTTTAAAATTTTGCAGCCATTCTTTTTCAAAATAATTTACAGGCATATTTTGAACAATTTAAGGCCTATGATCATCAAACTTTGTCAGTTGATGTATCTTGGGTCCTCAGAGTACATTGACTAAAAAGTAGGTTACCTTGACCTACTTTTTGAATTTTATGGCTAATCTGTTTCAAAACAATAAAGGTCATTAATTCGAATACTGAGAGGTTTAGAATCATTAAATCTTGTAAGATGATGCATTTTGGGGCCATAAAACATATTTAGTAAAAAGTAGGTCACAGTGACCTAATTTTTTAACTTTGCAGACATTCGATTTCAAAGCATTTTAGAGGCATAATTTGGACATTTTAAGGCCTATGATAATAAAACTTTGTAAGGTGATGCATCTTGGGTCCTCAAAAAATGTCAACTGAAAAGTAGGTCACCGTGACCAACTTTTGAAATTTTTTGGCTATATTTAAATAGTAAGGGTACCATTTGGCTGTGGGTATGTTAAGGAAGCATATTAATCGTTTCTCGGGAATTTTAGACTCTTTTAAGAAAATTAAGTTTGATAATTTATCAAAGTCACCGATAAAACGTAAACTATTATTAACTATTACATAAAGACAACAAAGTGTCTGAGGCCAAGAAGTGCACCACCGCAACGTCATCACGTGACTGCTATTAATAGCAAAATATTCCTAAATAAAAAAGTTAACAGAACAACAATACCCCGGGGTTTGATAATTTCTTTTAGTAAATAATATAGTTGAAAAACATCTCTTATGCCTAAAAAGTGCTGCTGCAGCTAGAATCCCACTGTCCGGTCGAGAAAATAATTATTCCTTATATTCGCACGAAACCTTACCCAATGTTTTGCATTTTATACATATAACCCGAGATATTTCTTCAAACCAAGTTTACCTCATGATTCTAGCAGCACTTCCCAAGTTTTATAGAACACAAGCTTTCGATATGTGTTAATATTAGGTTTTGAAGTATCCAGCTTAGTGTTGTTCTTTTGCATTATTGTTGTCACGAATGACAAAGGAAAGGCCGGCCGGGATACGTAAATAGCTGACTGTATTCAATAGAAGATATAATCAATGAAAATGAATTAGCATACCTGTTTACCAAACTTTAACTTCACATAAATCACATAAAATATTCATGATATTTGCTTCTAAACCCCCTTTTACATATCTTTTTACATGCCGTCTTAGCCAAATTCTCGTTACACAACATGATCAATATTCAAGTTACTTGTTAACATATATGACGTCATCGGTCGGAGTTTTTAATTCAGGTGACAGATACAGCATAACAAAATAAAAACATTTTATTTTTGTTGATATTTGCAAGTTTCTATTCAAATTCAGGAGTTAAATTATATCTCTAAATAACAGTATTTAGAAAACTTGTGTTCTAAAATTGACGTCATCTCGCCTACTATGACGTCATACGGTATCACTGATTTAGTCAAGTCAGATTATCTTAGTGCTTCCTTAACACACCTGCGGCTTAGAATCATCAAAATTTGTCAGTTGATGTATCTTGGGTCCTCAGAGTAGGTCACCATGACCTACTTTTTAATTTATATGACTATAATTAAATATTTTGGGTAATAATTGGGTTAGAATCATCAAACTTTGTCAGTTGATGCATCTTGGGTCTTCGAACTAGTTCGACTGAAAGGTAGGTCACTGTGACCTACATTTGAAAATTTATGGCTTTAATTAAATATTTCAGGTACTTATTGGCCTTGAATCATCAAACTTTGTCAGTTGATGCATCTTGGGTCCTCAGAGTAGGTCATCTTAAAAGTAGGTCACTTTGACCTACTTTTCAATTTATATGGCTATTATGAAATATTTTTTCAGGTACTAATTGGATTAGAATCATCAAACTTTGTCAGTTGATGCGTCTTACGTCCTCGGAGTAAGTTGACTGAAATGTAGGTCACTATGACCTTCTTTTGAAATTTTATTGCTTTATTTAAATATTTTTAGGTACTAATTGGCTTAGAATCACCAAACTTTGTCAGTTGATGCATCTTGGGTCCACAGAGTTAGTTGACTGAAAAGGAGTTCACTTTGGCCTATTTTTGAAATTTTATGGCTTTATTTAAATATATCAGGTGCTAATTGGCTTAGAATCATCAAACTTTGTCAGTTGAGGCATCTTCGGTCCTCAAAGTATGTCATCTGAAAAGTAGGTCACTTTGACCTACTTTTGAAATTTTATGGTAATAATTTTAAAAATATTTTAGGTACTAATTGGCTTAGAATCATCAAACTTAGTTGATGCATCTTGGGTCCTCAGAAAATGACAAGTGATAAGTAGATCACCATGACATACTCTTAGGAACTAATTGGCTTAGAATCATCTTATGTTCTCAAAGTGTTTCATCTAAAATGTAGGTCATGATGGCCTACCTTTGAATTTCAAGGCTTTATCTAAATATAAAGGATACTTAGAGGCTTCAAATAGAAGTGATAGGTTGTACAGTTTATCAGAAGAGTGATTCAAAGCCCTTGGGCCTCTTGTTTTTTCTTAAACACTACATTACCCTTATACATACATATAGCTGTATTACCCTTATTTGACAATACTGCAACCAAAAGTAGGGAGGGTGCACCTGGACTTTCAAGGAACATTTTCTATAATAAAAACTTATGTCTTGAAAAAAGCCCCCCCCCCCCCCCCCCCCAAATGCTATGTGCCAGCTAATCAAATTAATTGTAGTTTGAACATTTCTGTTACTTGCTATTAAAACAATATAACTCTGCCCAGAAATTTCAGTATTAATACAAAAAATGAATGTCTGATATTCAGACATATTCCTGTCTTCAAACACAAGTCACGAATAGCACATGGATGACTAAAAGCTCATGTGCATTCCAAACTAAAACATATTTGTCCTTAACCTGTGCCAACAAGGTCAGCCATATTCAAATGTGTACCAAGAGTGTGTTGAAAGGAACTTTCTGATTGGACAAAGATCTTTCATTCATCCGACAGCAACTACTCAAACTGCTTCACAAAACATTTTTGAGAAGGATGGAATGGGTATTTACCCTACAGTGATAAAAGAAATGAAGTGTAATCAACTGAAGGTTTCCCAAGATGGCTCTGGGGTTGCTCCTTCTCTACTGAAAGAAGGTCAATGTATGAATAATAATTATAAGAGGCATTCATTGTTGAAAAGTCCCTGTCGTTTTTTTATATTGCAGGGTTGTCCCTAACACCCAGGGGCTAGAATTTCTCACGCCTTTAATGATGTAATCCCCCAGTTATTTTGATATTCCTCCTAAACTCCCCATTAGGGGAGGAATCCCATGATTCCCTTCTACTTTTGAAATCTCCCCTTCTATTAGCTCAACTGAGCTGAAGGCTCAAATGAGCTTTTCTGATCACATTTTGTCCAGCGTCCTTCTGTCTGTCCATCTGTCTGTCTGTAATCTTTTCACATTTTAGACTTCTTCTCAAGAACCACTGAGCCAATTTCAACCAAACTTGCCACAAAGTATTCTTGGGTGAAGAAGATTCATGTTTGTTCAAATGAAGGGCCACACCTTCCAAGGGGAGATAATTAAAAATTTGTGAAAAATTAATGGCATCTTTTAAAAATCTTCTTCTCAAGAACCACTGGATCGGGAAAAATGAAACTAATGTGGAAGCATCCTCAGGTAGTGTAGATTCAAGTTTGTTCAAATCATGACCCCGGGGGATAGGTTGGGGCCACAAGAAGCGATCAAAGTTTTACGTAGGAATATACAGGAAAAATATTTAAAAATCTTCTTCTCAAGAACAACAAAACTATGATTGGTCATATTAATATGGAAGCATCCTCAGGCAGTGTAGATTTAAATTGTTAAAATCATGACCCCCGGGGGTAGGGTGGGGCCACAATGGACAATCAAATTTTACATAGGAATATATAGGAAAAATCTTTAAAAATATTCTCAAGAACAACAAAGCCCTCAGGTAGTGTTAATTCAAGTTTGTTCAAATCATGACCCCAGGGGTAGGGTGGGGCCAGATGGTTATCAAAGTTTTTCATAGGAATATATAAGAAAAATCTTTAAATATCTTCTTCTCAAGAATAAAAAAGCCATGATTGTTTATATTTGTATGGAAGCATCCTCATGGAGGGTAGATTCAAGTTTGTTCAAATCATGACCCCCAGGGGTAGCGTGGGGCCACAATGGACGATCAAAGTTTTACATTGGAATATATAGGAAAAATCTTCCTCTCAATAACAACCAAGCCATGATTGGTCAAATTTGTACGGAAGCATCGTCAGGTAATGTAGATTCAGATTTGTTCAAATCATGACCCGGGGGTAGGGTGGGACCACAATGAAAGTTCAAACTTGTAGGGAAAAAAGCCACAGTAAGTCAAAGAAATATGTAAGCATCCTTAGTTGTAGATTCAAGTTAATTCAGATCATAACCCCCCTCCCCTATTTATGGGTAGGTCCGGACCACTTATGCATTTAAGCTTTTCAGTACTGGATTGATTTTTCCCTGGCCACTGTGCTCAGGTGGGCCTCTTGTTTCAAATCTTAGGGACAACCCTGTATTGCACTTCTTTGGCCAAAGTTTTGACTCTGCTTTACAAAAATGTTTTCTTTTGACAGTTGATGAAGCCGCTGATTCTGTTGATGAAGACTCAAGTGGTGACAGTGACCTTGACCTTGAGAGTGAAGAGGTCAGTCTCTAGATATAATTGTAATCCCATATAAGTTGGGTTTATAGTTGGGTTTATCTTCTGTGCATGAGTTACAACTTAAAAGACCATCTATACAACAATGAAATATTTTTATAGCTCACCGAAGGCTCAAATGAGCTTTTCTGATCGCTCAAATGAGCTTTTCTGATCACATTTTGTCTGTAGTCCGTCTGTCTGTCTGTAAACTTTACACATTTTGGACTTCTTCTCCAGAATCAGTGCACCCATTTCAACCAAACTTGCCACAAAGTATCCTTGGGTAAAGGGGATTCAAGTTTGTCCAAATGAAGGGCCACGCCTTCTTCCAAGGGGAGATAATTAAAAATTTGTGAAAAATTAATGGCATCATTAAAAAATCTTCTTCTCAAGAATCACTGTGCTTGAAAATATGAAACTTATGTGGAAGTATCATCAGGTAGTGTAGATTCAAATTTGTTCAAATCATGACCCCCGGGGGTCGGGTGGGGCCACTATGGGCGAACAAAGTTTTACATAGGAGTATATAGGAAAAATCTTTAAAAATCTTCTTCTCAAGAACAGCAAAGCCATGATTGGTCATATTTACATGGAAGCATCCGCAGGTAGTGTAGATTCAAGTCTGTCCAAATCATGACCCCCAGGGATCGGGTGGGGCCACAGTGGGCGATCAAAGTTTTACATAGGAGTATATAGGAAAAATCTTTAAAAATCTTCTTCTCAAGAACAGCAAAGCCATGATTGGTCATATTTACATGGAAGCATCCGCAGGTAGTGTAGATTCAAGTCTGTCCAAATCATGACCCCCAGGGATCGGGTGGGGCCACAGTGGGCGATCAAAGTTTTAAATAGGAATGTATAGGAAGAATCTTTAAAAAAACTTTTTTTTAAGAACAGCAACAGCCCCCCCCCCCCCCCCCCCCAAACCAATTTTATATTTAAACTTTTCAACCTTTCAAGACTGAACTGATTTCTGCTTTTTCCTAGCCATAGTGCTCAGGTGAGCAATGTGGCTCCTCGGCTTCTTGTTTGGACATTGTTGAGTAAAGATGTTAGAGTTTATCTTTTTGTGTTGCCTGCAGAGCAGAGCAGCACATAGGGATGCACTTTACCTGGCGTCTGTCTGTCTGTCCGTCAGTCACACCCTAGATCTGGAAAATTGTAAAAGATATAGAATTGATATTTTGCACATATATTGCTTGACTATTTGGCTTCTGTAAAATACCATGGTTACAGACCTCGTAACCTTTGAACTTGACCTTTGACATACTTTTCAAATAGATGATTGTGCTGATATGTAGCATAATTATGATATTTAAGAGGCAAATTTATACTTTTTAGTATTTGAACTGATTGACATAAAATATCACGAAAATAAGCAGCATTAAAATCTATTTGACCTTGAACTTTGACCTACTTTGCAAAAATACTCAGAGGAGTATGTATCTCTTTTGAATTTGTGAGGCAGGGTTTTGATATTGGTGATATTAGCATTTATATTTCATGTCTTTGAGGTCATGACAATTTTGAAACTGTACATGCTATACAGTAATAGCACAAACTGAAATTTAAATACATGTAGTCCCTGAAACGTTCTACTTTCCCACTTGAACGGTGAGCAAATGCTGAGTGAACGGTGAACGAACACTGAGCGAAAGGTGAGTGAATGATGTGTGAACGCTGAACGCAACTTGGTGAATGTGTGTAGATATTTCTAGCTACCAGGCTAGTGTGGGGTTATTTTATCACATTGCCATTTTTCCCAAATCATCATTAAGTTTGATTAAGTCTTGTCTACATATTATCATACTTTTACATGTATTTGCAAACATGGGGCTAAACACACTATGCACGATTATATCTCTGTCATTTAATTGTTCTACCATAAGTATTACCAGTGCACCTATTTTACATAATTCATGTATATATATATCTATGACTCTTCTTACATTTTTGTACTCACTTCTTCTCCTCCTATCAGGTGATATTGAAGAGAATCCAGGGCCTACCTTAAAACCAAATGGCACATGTTCATTATCTTCATGTAATTCATCAACAAGTACTTCAAACACATCATTCGACCCACATAGATTTACCTTCGCTCATTTAAATGTCCAAAGTCTAAGTCACAAGATCCATATACTTGAAGCAGAACTTCACAACCACACCATCCTTTCATTTACTGAAACATGGCTTCACAAAGATAACATTACCACGGATATCGATATACATAACTTCCAAACTCCATTTTGTCGTTATCGCAAGACGAAAATTGATGGGGGCATGACAGTATATGTCAAGGATAATATTTTCGCAAAATGCAGAATTGACCTTGAACCAACCATGATTGAGTGCGTTTGGTTGGAACTTTTTATGGGTGGCCAATCTAATCTGTATGGAACCTTTTATCGACCCCCAAACTCTCCTTTATCTATATGGAGTGATATTGAGTACTCCATAGACCTAGCTTATAACACTAAAATTAGTAAAATAATAATCACATGTGATTTCAATGCAAACTTACTGACCAACAATCTGATTATCTCATTAATATAATGACTATGTACAACATTACCCAACTAATTGAAGAACCAACCCATTTTACCAAAAAAACTTCTACACTTATGGATGTTATTATAGTTAGTGATAGTAATATTCTGGAAAAAGCTTATGTTGGCGATTGTTTCCTGGACCAGAGTGTACATTATCATTGTCCTGTCTATGCGTTGATAAGTCAATATAATCAAATCTCTCACTCATTTAAATGTGAAATTTGGTTATTCAATCAAGGCGATTACGATTCATATAGAGATAACCTGAATTCAATCGACTGGGAAGAAATACATGTATTGTCTGATTCTGACATCGACTTAATGATTTAATAAAGATTTAATGAAACTATTATAAAGCATGCTAGAAATAACATACTTAATAAGACAGTGACAATTAGAAAATCCGATCCTCCTTGGATTAATAATGCAATTTGAACACTTATCCGTTGACGGAAATGATTACAAACAGTCGCTAAACAAACTGATCATCATGGTCTGAATTTAGAAAAATAAGAAATCACTGTATATGCACTGTACATAATGTTCGCGATGACTACTATAAAAAGCTATTAAAAAATATAGCCGAGTGTAACGACTCAAGAAAGTGGTGGAATATGGCACATAAAATATACAACACTCAGATCCATAATGGCTTACCTCCTTTGGAGGTTAATGGCAATGTAGTCAATAACAATTTTAAAAAAGCAACTGCATTTAAGGACCCTCTCTACACTGCACCCTAATTTCAGGGTACATTTGTGTAGTTAGACAAGTGAACGCTGAACGCAAGGTGAACGCAAAGTGAACAAACGGAGAGCGAACGCTGAACGCAAGGTGAACATGAGTGCACGGTGAATGCTGAATGCAAAACTGTGAACAGAGAGCGAACAGTGAACGAATGGTGAAGGCACGCTGAACGAACGGTGAATGAACGGTGAGCGAACGGAAAAATGGGAAAGTAGAACATTTCAGGGACTGTAGTATAAAATCTTGAGTTATAAGATCTAAGGGCAGACTACTCTTACTGCATAAGAATACCACAGAATTAGAACTCTTTAATCAGCAGTATATAGAGTGTTGGATTAAATTTTGGACATTCTATTCCTCAGTTTTTAATTATAGTGTAGCTTGTCATAATTTTTTTTTCTCAACTTGTTTTTCCAGCAGATGACAAACATTTCATCCATTCCCAATAGATAGATTAAAAAAAAAAGTATTGAATATATTTACTGGTATTAATTAAAATAATTTACAAATGTAATTAATTTTTCACCCCAGGAAGAACCAATATACTCCATGGATAACAACTCACAAAATCGTGGATCCACACAGCAAGCAGAAAACAGAGTCCCTCATATACACCAGGAATCGGTGCTTTCATGGGAAGATAACCTCTTACATACATCCACAGTAGTAAGACAAGAACCTGTTGAAAGTTATTCAAATGGAGTGAATACTGCAGGGACAAATTCCAGTTCTTCTTTCAATGTTGAAAGATATTCAAATGCAGTGAATACTACAGTGACAAATGTGAATTCCAGTGCTTCTTTCAAACTGGCATCTTCTGGAGCCCTAAGTTTACCTCCGTCTGTGTCAAATGACCCAGTTATGAGAAATTCGTTCACATCCTCAAATATTTATGAAAGTTCTTCAACTCACATTCAGAATACAATGGATACTCCTGAAGAGATAGAAAATCAAACTGTAAACACAAAGACTAGTGAAAATATTGCTCAAAACCCACTACTATCCACATTGATAACAAAGCAAACTCTGAACTCAGGTACAGTAGAAGCAATTCAAGTTCAAAAGTTACTAACTCTCAGATTAAACTCACAGGGCGTAATAAGTGTAGATCGGCAGACTGACTTATCTAACTCAGGGCCAAGAGGAGGTACCTTGTACATACAAAGAGGAAACACTCCAAACTCAGTTTTAGTCCGTCCTCAGGATTCTGGGTTATTCCAACCACCTACACGTAATCTGCTCACTACATCAAAGATACAAAGTTCCCCTGGAAGAAGAGAGAGTTTCAGTCTCCTGCCAAATTTAAGTCAACCTTCTTCATTTCCTTGCCAACCTGTATTCACATCGACTGCTTCAGAGTTTTCTTTGACAAATGGAGGACAAGAAACTTCACTTGCTTCAAGCAAGATATTGATGAAAAAAGAACAGCAGACATCACCTGCTTCAGGTGTGACACTGATAGCAGGAGGACAACAGACATCACCTGCCTCTAGTGTTGGAGGACAGCAAATTTCACCTGCTTCAGGTGTGACATTGATAGCAGGAGGACAGCAGATTTTACCTGCTTCAGGTGTAGGAGGACAACAAAGTTTACCTGCTTCAGGTGTGACATTTATAAGTGGGGGACAACAGATTTTACCTGATTCAGGTGTAGGAGGACAGCAAAGTTTACCTGCTTCAGGTGTGACATTTATAACAGGAGGACAACAGATTTTACCTGATTCAGGTGTAGGAGGACAGCAGACACCACCTGCTTCAGGTGTGACATTTATAACAGGAGGACAACAGATTTTACCTGATTCAGGTGTAGGAGGACAGCAGACACCACCTGCTTCAGGTGTGACATCAATAACAGGAGGACGACAGACATCACCTGCCTCAGGTGTGACATCAATAACAGGAGGACGACAGACATCACCTGCCTCAGGTGTGACATCAATAACAGGAGGACGACAGACATCACCTGCTTCAGGTGTGACATCAATAACAGGAGGACGACAGACATCACCTGCCTCGGGTGAAGGAGGACAGCAAAGTTTACCTGCTTCAGATGTTTTATTGCTAACAGGAGAGCAGCAGGCTTCACCTTTCACAGGTGATCTATTGATTGAGGGAGAAAAGCAGACTTCATTTAGTTTGGTTTCACAAACTGGACTTGAGCAGGTGGATGATGGTCAGGAACAAATAGAAAAGGTATAGATATGATAAGAAAAATCCTTTTACAAATAATCATCAAAATGTGGTTCCTCTTATATTGCCATATCGTGTATACAGTATCTCAGGTTGTAACTTATACCTAAAACTGGATAAAAAAAATAAAAATAAAATAGAAATAAAAATGGGCTACCTAACCTTACTTTTTACTGATTAGAATTAGAAACCAACTTTTTTTAGGTCTTGAATTGATATACATATGCAAACATAATTTCAGAGAGATCTGCCTGGTTCAAAGAAATCCAAATCAAGGATGTATACAGTTCCCCCTGAAAGGCCTCCGAACTCTTTCATGCTGTGGTTGAATGCCCACAGGAAGAAGCTGAGGAAACAGAACCCAGAGCTGGGCATCATAGATTTTGGTAGAAAAGCTGGAGAAATGTGGAAAGCCCTGGAAGACAAAACAGTAAGTTTATAAAGTTCAAGTTAATAGATGATCTGTTTTAGAAGATGGTAAACAAATTAAAGTACACAATCTACTACATTTATTTTCAAATTGTCAAAATAAAAAAGAACAGTGGACATTACTCTCCAATAAATTAGAAACATTATCAGAAGAAAACCATATCAATTTTGTACTAATAGTTACTTATGCCTGCTGTCTCTTATAAGACAAATGTCACCTACAAGCTACCTCCAGTGATTATTATAACCCCCCCCCCCCCCCCCGCTTGATAGCGGGGATTTATAGTGATGGGGGTCTTTGTCCATACTTCCATCCATTATGCTTGGGGTTTCCATCTCTTTCCTCTGTTTTTCATTTTATAATTCTAAAAATGAATTAAATCATGCTCTTATAGTTATCTAATTTTTATACGCCTGTCTTAAGACGGGATGTATCATGTTGTAGCGTTCATGTCTGTTCATCGTCTTGGGTAGAAGGTGTGTCGCACATTAAAAGTAGGTCACTCTGACCTTTAATTAAGATGATATGGCCAAATATGGAAAAATCCTGTCCGGCTGATAACTAGAAAACTATTAGACTTACAATCATCAAACTTGGCCAATTTATGCATCTAAGGTAGAAGGTGTGTCACAACCTATTACAAGGTTACTGTGACCACTCAGGTGATCTATTGCTATCTGTTCTCGTCCATCGGCTTGTGTCCTGTGTTAACATTTGAACATTTTTAGCTTCTTCTCTGAAACCGCTTAACCAATTACAACCAAATTTGACATATAGCATCTATGGGTGAAGGGGAACAAAAATTGTAAATTTCATGGTCCCTGCTCCCCCCCCCCCCCCCCCCGGGGCCTGAGGGGTGGGGCTAAAACCACCAAAAATAATGAAATCTTTAAAAATCTTCTTCTTTACTCCTGGACATCAAGCAGTCAAACTGTTAGCATCATTGTAATAAGCATTGAGCCCTCTACCAAACTTGTGCTACTGGGTATTAAATAAACTAACTAAGTACATAGTTATGAAGAGCAAGATTGTCTCTTCCAAAATTGTTAAATACATGGCCTCAGGGTCAGGGTTCTGGTGTTAGGGCAGGGCTCTATTGATTATATAGTGAAAATGCATTAATTCTTTGGAAATCTTCTTCTCTGCTCCTGGGTACTAAATAAAGTAACTAAGTACATAGTTATCATGAGCAAGAGTGTCTTTTCCAAAATTGTGAATTTCATGGCCCAAGGGTCAGGGTTCTGGTGTAAGGGTGGGACTCTATTGATTATATAGTGAAGATGCATTAATTCTTTGAAATCTTCTTCTCCTCTCCTGAGTTTTAAATAAAGTAACTAAGTACATAGTTATGATGAGCAAGAGTGCCTCTTCCAAAATTGTGAATTTCATGGCCCCAGGATCTGGTGTTACGGCGGGACTCTATTGACTATATAGTGAAAATGCATTAATTCTTTCAAAATCTTCTTCTCTGCTCCTGGGTATTATTCAAACAAAGGAAGTGCATGGTTATGATAAGGAAGAATGCCTCTTCCAAATTGTGAAATTCATGGCCCCAGGGTCAAGTGTTAGGTGAAAAGGGAGGGACTCTATTGATTATATATTGAAAATGCATAATTTCTTTCAAATTTTTTTTTTCTCCTACTGGTTATAAAGCAAAGAAACAAGTGTATAGTTATGATGAGCAAGGGTGCTTCTTCCAGAATTGAGAGTTCATGGCCCCTGGGTCAGATGTTCTGGTGTAAGGGTGGAGCTTTATTTATTTAATTATATAGTGAAAATGCATTTCTTTGAAAATCTTCTATGCTTCTGGGCATATTCGAGGCCAACACCTGGACCATTTAGTCAAGTGTTCTGGTCCTGCCCATTGCTCCAATAACTTGTATTCTGCTGAGCAAAGTTATTCCCCTTTGCCATTCACCTTTGATAATTAATCACTGTAAACAATGTATTTGAAAGGTTAATAAAATACGAGTATTATGCAAGAATATTTTTGTAAAATACAAAAAGTACTTTCACAGTTTTTATGATCAGGTAGACTTGGAAATAATAGATGAATAAAACTGAGACAAAAATAACTCGTCTTTTTAAATGTTCTTCAAAGGCCAAGAGAGGCGAATGTGAGAAGTAATAATATGGGGTTAAAAAATAGACATTTTGTTAAATAGTCTGCATGGTAATAGTGATAAATAGGGGATAGATAGATACTAGACCAATTATTTTGTTGATGCTAATCTTACTATATTTATTGCTTTTTGGCAACAAAGCTTCATTTATCAGTTTATGGATCCTCTAAATTGTTGTATTGTACTCAGGTGACCGTTGAGGCCCTTGGGCCTCTTGTTTTCATTATATACTTTACAGCAATCTTTAACAAATGTAATGTTATAAGAGAAATTCCACATCTGCCATGGGTGTAATTATCAAGCACTGGTCGAGGAGAATTTTGTTAACAGAAAATTGCATGTGAAACTAGAGAGAAATCAATGACTTTTAGCATGAGGAGCTAACTGGTAGAGCATCTCTGATCAAGCAGGTGTTATCTATATCTCTTGGTAATTGGACAATAGAATCAGCCCTGTTGGATTGAATAGATTTTGTTGGCTAGCCTACTTTTTAAAAATGAATTCGGTGAAAAGTAATCAAAACTAATTTGATGTTGTATAATAAAGTAATTTGATATTGCATAATATAATAAAAACTAATTATACCCAGAGGGGGGGGGGGTATTGTAATCAGCATGTCCGTTTGTCTGTATGCACTGCAGCTTAAAACCAGTTTGACATTAAATCTCAAAATATTCATCAAGTATTTTTTTTTAAAATGTTTTATGGTAGATAGTCCCTAAAATCTAAGAGTCATGCAGTAACCTTATTAAAAATGTTGCATCAAGATTACAGAAGTTTTTGTTTCTTTTTATAAATCTTTGTAACAATTTTTTTTAAAAATCTCTGTTTTCAACAGAATGACATAAATATGCATTTTTATTGCAATACAGACTACAAAGCAGATAGTGCAGATCCATTCATCCCTTAGGAGTAATGAGTGGACATGAATCCAGTTAAATATCATAAATAATTAATGAGTTCAATGTAGGAAGGCTAGCTGTCTGAATCATTTCTGTTAGAACATCTCTGATCAAGCAGTTCTTATCTGTATCCTCTGGGAATTAGACAGAGAACTGCTGGTCAGTTTATATCATATGTTATTTGATGGCCAGCCTTTTATTTTCAAAATTAATTTGGTATAGATTAAATTGATAAGACTAATAATATTGTTTAATATGATATATTTATTAATTTTTTTTGAAAATATCAAACAAATATGAAAGATGAGGAGATGGGGGGGGGGGGGGGGTTGTTGTTTGCAGATGGGTATTTGTCAAGCTCTAACACAACCAGTTGAGAAATCTTTGATGTAATACATGTATTTGTTAAAATTAATGCCTACACCACAGGAGATGTATAAACAGTAAATATTGTAAGGAATGGAAAAATCATGGAAATCTTTGAATCAGGGTTGACATGATTTTCTTGCACTCTAAACTGTTGGTGAGAATTGAACAATATTTGATGCTGTGGCAGGACACTTTATTACGCTATAGTGCACACAAACAGATGCAATTCAGACCTGTAGTAAAATAAAGTTCTAGTAATTGGGGGTTGTTGCAAGATAACCTTCTTGACATCAGAATATTGTTTGCAATTTGAAAGCCTTGCCTTTTGTACTTTATACTATTTCCTGACCTTGGAATTGTCCAGGTACCAGGATCATGAAAAAGACCTAGACTTACGTCAAATTTTCAATACTAAATTTTTAGTTTGATTTATATTTGCAAATCTGGGTCAAAAAGCTGTTAATTAATTTTTGTTTCAAAATTTTGCAAATTGTCATTAGCCCTAAAATTAAAAACACCTCAAAATTTTCAGAACAGTTTATAAGTTATGCATGTACATACAATAAAATATGCATCATGTATGTACAAGATATTAAACCATGCCAATGTTCAATAATCAGGAAAAAAAATATTAGAGGAGATAAAATATGTGAACTGTTTAAAGTTTCCATTACAATTTATTAAATCACGCATGTACATAGAATATATAAAATGATGTCAGCTTTAACTAACCTTCAGATAAAAACATTTTCTACCGGGTATAAGAAGAGAAAACACGTCTAGGTATTATTGAATCACATACAATATATAAAACGATAGCTTTAACTAACTTTCAGATAAAAAACATTCTCTACCATGTAGAAGAAGAGATAAAACATCTAGTAAATATTAATAATCATTGGTTCACATGGCACGTTTTGTTCAAATAATCAAGTATGGTAGCAAATTTATTTGTGTTCATTTAAATTTAAATGAGAGTTTCAGAGCATCTGAAATCCAATCTTTCATTTAAACCTTTATAAAATTTCTCTGTGTTTCCCTTTAGGTAGGATATGGCTGAGTCAAACCACTTTGCAATGAGTGGTTTGAGAATGGACATTCCAAGATTAACGTCCAATTCAAATAGACACCAGCTGTCAGCAAAATTTTTGTTTACAATTTTTTTGGTTGATTTATTTTTAAGAAAAATATTTTTTGCAAATGCAACACACACGCATATTTGCTTAAAAATTATCTACAGTAAAAATTTCCAGAGTTATGGTAATCCATAAAGATATAATACTTGATGAAAAATGAAATTCTTAATTTGCATATAACAGCAGTTTGATAATGCAAAATTGGAAAGCACTTTCATTTTGGACTGCTTAACTTCTAGATAATTTAAGTACCATATACTTTTTTTGACTTAAGTTTAAGATGTTTTATGGTCTAGGGGCCAGCACCATCCATAGAAACATAGACTTGAATCCCTAAAGATATCAAAAATAAGTCTGATGAAATTTTTAGAATACAGCTTTCATTGTACAGTCAAACATGCTTATAAACAAGTTCCAGGGATGGAATATTTTGTTTCATTATCAACTTAATTCCTTATATCTGTTAAGTTTATGGTATATTTCAAAGCCTTAAGGAATGAAAATCACATTGCTGTAAGCAACCATTCCTTATAAGCATTTTGGCTATAAGCATAATTCACTGTACTCATTTGAATTTAATAGAAATGGAATAAAAAGGCTGCAGAAGGAATGAAAGAGTATAAAAAGGACATGGAGGGGTACAGAGCTCAGAAGGCTGAGAGAAAGAGGAAGGCTGCAGCAGAAGAGCAGAAGAAATTGACAAAGGCCTGCAGGGAATCAGTTTTATCACTGAGGTAAGTCACTCAGTTAATCACAGAATTCATTAAAGAATGTCACTCAGATAATCAGGGAATTCATTAAAGAATGTCGCTCAGATAATCAGGGAAATTGTTGAAGAAAGTCACTCAGTCAATCAGGGAAATCACTAAAGAAAGTCACTCAGTTAATCAGGGAATTCATTAAAGAATGTCACTGAGTTAATCAGGGAAATCGATAAAGAAAGTCACTCAGTCAATCAGGGAAATCACTTAAGAAAGTCACTAAGTTAATCAGGGAAATCACTAAAGAAAGTCACTCGGTTAAACAAGGAAATCACCAAAGAAAGTAACTTAGTTAATCAGGGAAATCACCAAAGAAAGTCTCAGTTAATCGGGGAAATCACTGAAGAAAGTCACTCAGTTAATCAGGGAAATCACTAAAGAAAGTCACTCAGTTAATCAGGGAAATCACTAATGAAATTCTGAGTTAATCAGGTAAATCACTAAAGAATGACACTCAGTTAATCAGGTAAAACACTAAAGAAAGTCACTCAGGTAATCTGGGAAATCACTAATGAAGGTCACTTAGTTGATAAAGGAAATCACTAAAGAAAGTCACTCAATTATCAAGGAAATCACTGAAGAAAGTCACTCAGTTAATCAACGATATTACTGAAGGAAGTCACTCAGTTAATCTGGGAAATCACTAATGAAAATCATTCAGTTAATCAGGAAAATCACTAAAGAAAGTCACTCAGTTAATCAAGGAAATCACTGAAGAAAGTCAATCAGAGAAATCACTAAAGAAAGTCACTCGGTGTATCAAGGAAACCATTGAAAAAAGTCTCTCAGTTAATCAGGGAAATCACTAAAGACAGTCATACAGTTAATCAGGGAAATTACTAAAGAAAATTGCTCAGTTAATCAGGGAAATCACAAATGAAAGTCATTCAGTTAATCAGGGAAATCACTAAAGAAAGTTACTTAGTTAATATGGGAAAGCACTAAAGAAAGTCACACAGTTAATCAAGGAAATCACCAAAGAAAGTTACTCAGTTCATCAAGAAATCACTAAAGAAAGTCACTCAGTTAATCTGTAAAATTGCTAACTAAAGAAAGTTACTCAGTTAATCAAGGATTCACTAAAGAAAGTCTCTCAGTTAATTAGGGAAATCACTAAAGAAAGTTGCTCAGGTAATCAGGGAAATCATTAAAGAAAGTTACTCAGGTAATCAGGGAAATCACCAAAGAAAATTACTCAGGTAATTAAGGAAATCACTAAAGAAAGTCTCAGTTAATCAGGGAAATCACTAAAGAAAGTCACTCGGTTAATCAGGGAAATCGCTAATGAAAGTCACTCAGTTAATCAGGGCAATCACTAAAGAAAGTCTCAGATAATCAGGTAAATCACTAAAGAATGTCACTCAGTTAATCAGGGAAATCACTAAAGAAAGTCACTCAGTTAATCTGGGAAATCACTAATGAAGGTCACTTAGTTGATAAAGGAAATCACTAAAGAAAGTCAGTTAATCAAGGAAATCACTGAAGAAGAAAGTCTCTCAGTTAATCAGGGAAATCACTAAAGACAGTCATTCAGTTAATCAGGGAAATTACTAAAGAAAGTCGCTCAGTTAATCAGGGAAATCACAAATGAAAGTCATTAAGTTAATCAGGGAAATCACAAATGAAAGTCATTCAGTTAATCAGGGAAATCACTAAAGAAAGTTACTTAGTTAATATGGGAAAGCACTAAAGAAAGTCACACAGTTAATCAAGGAAATCACCAAAGAAAGTCACTCAGTTCATCAAGAAATCACTAAAGAAAGTCACTCAGTTAATCTGTAAAATTGCTAACTAAAGAAAGTTACTCAGTTATTCAATGATTCACTAAAGAAAGTCTCTCAGTTAATTAGGGAAATCACTAAAGAAAGTTGCTCAGGTAATCAGGGAAATCATTAAAGAAAGTTACTCAGGTAATCAGGGAAATCACCAAAGAAAATTACTCAGGTAATTAAGGAAATCACTAAAGAAAGTCTCAGTTATTCAGGGAAATCACTAAAGAAAGTCACTCGGTTAATCAGGGAAATCGCTAATGAAAGTCACTCAGTTAATCAGGGCAATCACTAAAGAAAGTCTCAGTTAATCAGGTAAATCACTAAAGAATGTCACTCAGTTAATCAGGGAAATCACTAAAGAAAGTCACTCAGTTAATCAGGGAAATCACTAAAGAAAGTTACTCAGTTAATCTGGGAAATCACTAATGAAGGTCACTTAGTTGATAAAGGAAATCACTAAAGAAAGTCACTCAGTTAATCAAGGAAATCACTGAAGAAAGTTACTCAGTTCATCAAGAAATCACTAAAGAAAGTCACTCAGTTAATCTGTAAAATTGCTAACTAAAGAAAGTTACTCAGTTATTCAATGATTCACTAAAGAAAGTCTCTCAGTTAATTAGGGAAATCACTAAAGAAAGTTGCTCAGGTAATCAGGGAAATCATTAAAGAAAGTTACTCAGGTAATCAGGGAAATCACCAAAGAAAATTACTCAGGTAATTAAGGAAATCACTAAAGAAAGTCTCAGTTATTCAGGGAAATCACTAAAGAAAGTCACTCGGTTAATCAGGGAAATCGCTAATGAAAGTCACTCAGTTAATCAGGGCAATCACTAAAGAAAGTCTCAGTTAATCAGGTAAATCACTAAAGAATGTCACTCAGTAAATCAGGGAAATCACTAAAGAAAGTCACTCAGTTAATCAGGGAAATCACTAAAGAAAGTTACTCAGTTAATCTGGGAAATCACTAATGAAGGTCACTTAGTTGATAAAGGAAATCACTAAAGAAAGTCACTCAGTTAATCAAGGAAATCACTGAAGAAAGTTACTCAGTTCATCAAGAAATCACTAAAGAAAGTCACTCAGTTAATCTGGAAAATTGCTAACTAAAGAAAGTTACTCAGTTAATCAAGGATTCACTAAAGAAAGTCACTCAGTTAATTAGGGAAATCACTAAAGAAAGTTGCTCAGGTAATCAGGGAAATCATTAAAGAAAGTTACTCAGTTAATCAGGGAAATCACCAAAGAAAATTACTCAGGTAATCAAGGAAATCACTAAAGAAAGTCTAAGTTAATTTGGGATATCACTAATAAAAGTAATTCAGTTAATCGGAGAAATCACTAAAGGAAGTCACTCAGTTAATCAGAGAAATCACTAAAGAAAATCACCCAGTTAATCAGGGAAATCACTAATAAAAGTTGCTCAGTTAATCAGGGAAATCACTAATGAAAGTTATCCAGTTAATCAGGGAAATCACTAAAGAATGACACTCAGTTAATCACGGAAATCACTAAATAAAGTCACTCACTTGATCAGGGTAATCACAACAGTAGTCAATAATCTGGGAAATCACTACTGTAAGTCACTCAGTTAATCTTGGAAATCACTTAAGTAAGACTTTCAGTTAATCTGGGAGATCACTAATATAAGTCACTCTCAGTTAGTTTTTGGAAGTCACTTAAGTATGTTAATCAGGGAAATCTCTTAAGTAAAACACTCAGTTTATCTGGGAAATCACTGAAGTAAGTCACTTTCAGTAAATCTTCGAAATCATGTTCATCGTAATCTGAAAATTCTCCAAAAGAAGTCATTCCAAGTTATGGGAAATTAGCAAAGCAAGTCACTCTCAGTAAATTTAGAAAATCTCCAAATTAAGTCAGTTTCAGTTAATGTGGGATATCATTCTCAGTTAATTTAGGAAATCACTAAAGTAAGTCACTCTCGGTTGAATTTTAAGAATTATCAAATTACATATAAGTCACAATTCGTTTATCTTGGATATCAGTGAAGCTCATTCAAGGAGATAAATTTTCTAATATCAATGTGATACCGTATAAGCAGAAATTTTAGCAAGGATTTAATTTTGGCATTATTAGCTAGGGTGCTGAGATCGCTACAATTGAATATCACCAAAAATTAATTGCGTTTTATTTGTTAAAGCGTCTATAGTGAGCATTTTAAAATCGCTAAAACTATTTCTCACTAAAAATAAATACCCTTTTTTAAGGATAAATCGCTAAATTTGCGTCTCACGAAAATTTCCACTTATACGGTACTTCAAAAATAATGTAGATACTGTTCCCAAATAGGAAATCTTACACAAGTTCAACACGTATATTGTAGGAGGAGAAAAATACCAAAGAAGAGCCCTAGTAAATCAGCATCCGAGAACCAAGCAGAGCCAGGAACTAATTATAAGAGCACAGAGTATGCGTCCCGATCATCAGTATCGGCAGGATCTGGTAGTGAAGACAAACCCCTCAAAAAGAAATCCAAGAAGGAAGAGAACTCAAAGAAAATTTTAAAAAAAAATTGAGGATGTAAAAATGTCGCTGAAGAAGGACCAGTCAAATAATCCAAGAAAAAAATGTGATGGACTGGGCACCAGCAAACGATTTGTAACACTGAAGGAGAAAATGAAGATGGAATGTGGAGGACCAGTCAAATAAGCTAAGGGAGACCATAATTAAGTCTTCCATCAGTCGCGCAAATTCTTCACTCATATTCAAAATGTGAATAGCTACATGGTTATTAATTAGTTATGCTATATGATTTTTTTTTAAAATTGTTTTTAATAAATGATTAATGGCACAATTTTTTCAAGTCATTTTGTGAACAGTGTGTGTTAGCCCTAACAAAAAAAAAAACTATAGCAAACTATTGTTAACTATAGTTAAAACTTTGACACTTTGAAAACTTTGATTTACTTTAGTGATAACATGGGGCCGACTTCGTTTGTTACAGATCCGCGTACGCCGAATTGCGCCGGTCATATGACCGGCGTAAAACGGCTAAGTGGTAAATGAAATAAACCGGCGAAAACAAAACATAATTATACAAAATAATGATCAATTTATTATAATCTATCACTTTTTACATTATGTCTTAGCGAAAAAGAGGTTGAATAATTCAAAATTCAATAAAATAAAAAAAATCATGGACCTAATGAAAAATTTTCATTTCGAAAATAACAATAGATTTTAAATATACGAATAGAAATTTGTTCAAGAAATGCAAACAATTAAAGAACATGCGGAATTGGTAAAAAGTATCTGCATTTTAACAGCTGTTTAATCCTCCCGCCATATTTCTAAGACCGGCGAATCCGTCGCCATCATTTCAAACCGGCGAGATCGGCGTACGCATATGAAGTAACAAGCCAGGTTACCAAAGGTCAAGCGGCGCATTCGGCGTACGCCGGTTTGACAAATGAAGTCCAATCTTTGACACTGTGATTTACTCTAGTGATCACTATGAATTAATTAAAATTTTATCACAGAAAATTATAAAATGTTCACTAGGAAATAAATACATATATCTAATATATGTTTATCACAGAAAAGTTTACAACGTTCCATCTTTTTTGGATATAAATGTTACAAAACTGACTGTAGACCATAAGATTTTCGAATTTGACAATGTTGATAACATTTATATATAATATATAATATAATTGTAACAATGTTGGTAACATTTTAATATATACTTTTTAACACCAGAGTTGTCCCTAAGACCTGGGGAATTTCCTCATCTATAATAATATCCACCCCGAGTTATTCTGGTAACCCCCTCAACCCCCCGGAGGAGCTAGAAATTCTAACCCCCCTCCCCTCTTCCTTTTCAATGACCCTGCTCTTTCAATTCTTAGGGACAGCCCTGCTTTTAACACAGAAATTTGGCACATTCTATGCATTGCAAGAAAAACAATACTTAAAATTTACAAAAACAACAAGCAAAACAGATATACTTTTTCTAAAAATAAATATTTTAAAAATAATGTTTAGCTCAAAAAATAAAACAGATTATGCTTCAAACATATCACACCTCTTAGGAGAAAAAAAAACAATACACATATACAAATAAAACTCTTAAAGGCCTTTTCACAATTGGCGCACGAGCAGAAGCAACAAAATATTCGCGGGGCAGAAAATTTTTGATTTGGATCGTAAACTGTTGCCAAAATAAACGCATATGAAAAAGTATTCGTACGAAATTCGTACGATCTAAAGCGACCGCTGTGCATTAGATTTTGCGATATATCTTGCGTCTATATGCGACTATTGTACAATGAAAGCGAGTGTTGTAATATACTGCGATCGGATCGCGCGATTGATCAGGTAATTGGACGATTGAACGTGCGCCAATGCGATTGTACGTGCGGCGCTCGTGCGCTCATGAGTTCCATGGTACGAATGCTCTTGCGAGTCAGAGGGGTATATAAACCGGCCGTTCCCGAAGCTCTTCAGTTGATATTGTTGAATGCGAGAGAAGATGCTTATACAGTTTATATATACTAGTGGCAAAGCAGGACAAACTGAGGCTGATAAATTATGCAAGGATAGTAAAACGTTGCAAGATTACATGAGACACGTTGAGCAACAGTCTCATATTCGCAAAACACACGCACAGACACCTGCGATTCATCTTACGACCTTTAAAACTCGTGGATCACTCTTGCGAGTACACAAAACGTTGTAGGACGTTCGTACTAATGTTCGTTCGTTGCGATAATTTTGATCGCATTCAGTCGCGTCTGAATAGTGTGCATGTCAACTATTTTGAGGAAACTTGATGCGACCACTAAAACGCATGCAACGAATGCGAGACATCGTACAATGTGCGAAGCTAAAACATTCCGATCGCAAAGTGTTGTAAAGTGCTCGTGTGCCAATTGTGAAAGGGCCTTAAAACAATTTAATAGTTTGACATCAAAAGTTTGGATACTTGAAGTTTTTTAACAGTTAAAAATTCAGTGAAAGCATATTACAGTTATAACTTCAAAAACCAGCACTAAGAATAAATATGACAACATTTGAAAACAGATAGTCCTACTACAATAAATACTACAAAAATCTAATACTACATGAAGCACATTACTGTGGAATTTCAATGAACCAGGAAATTTCTCGGACAGATATTTACATAAATTTAGTCTTTTTCTTGAACGGTATCCTTGGAAGTCATTCCATGACTTTTTTGTGGCAGTTGTTCAACTTGTTTCGAATGATTTTCTTAATTTCTTCTGCCGAAATACTCCACTGCGACTTGGTGAAAGCTAAAATATAGACAAGAGAAAATAAGTACGAAATTCTGAGCATCAGTAGGTATCAGTATAAAGAATAAGCACTGTAAGTAAACGTAAATTACAATTCTTTTACAAATAAGCAAAATTGAGATTTTCAACACATATTTTCTTGTTTACAAATAGATTTTTTACATTAAATGTTTTCTTTAGCTAGGTGAATTACCTAGCTAAAGAAATTTTTTTTTTAATTTAATTCAAACAGGTATGAAGAAACTAATAAGTTAGATAGAGGTAAAAAAAAAAAAAAAAACAATATCTTACTTATGATATCTGAAGCCTTGTTCCCATCAAAAGCTGGTTTGATGTCTATTGAGTCTTTGCAGCGACCTTTGGCCCCCGTCAAGCTGCTAGCACCCAGCTCCTCATCTGTGAAAACTTCTTCCAATAAATAGTTCACCAGATGGGAAAATTTCGACCCAACATGCCGAAAGACGTCCTTTTTCAGAAGTTGGGCAGAGCCAAAATGCAAAACCTGTCACAAATATTAAATATTATTAGCCGAAGACGTGAAGTTAATTGAAAAAAAAACCAGGTAATTTTTCAAACCAAATTAAATACAGCAAATGATGTTAACATTTTTTTTCCTTTTAAACTTTCATTAATGCAAACTTTAAAGACACAGGAAACTTATGTTTGGTTTCTAGATTAAGATTAGCTGCAGATCCGTAGCTCGCTGGTCTGAAAAAAAAATTGGATGGACGACCATAGAGCTACAGTGCCACCCATTTAAAAAGTGTATATTTATTGCGCACAAAAAAGTGCGCTGTCCCTCGATTTATTTTTCCGTATATTTAAACTGCCATCTCAAAATAATACAAACTGTGTGTTCCTAACATATTTTTTCACTACTTCCACAATATAAACATTTCCCAAAACCGTTGTTAATAGCCCTCCTGGGTCTGAAATTGAGATCATCGAGCATTTTGCCTACCTATACTGCCATCTTGGGTGGCAGGATAAATCGGTCCAACGCACTTTGTACATGACTGTTACATACAGTTTTGTTGTAGAAGTAGTGAACATTTTCGGAATCTCAGACACCCGACAGTTGACTTCAGACAGCGGACTTTTCATGTAAGGGAACGTGTCAAAAAGTGAATAATATTAATAATTTTTGTAGTCTTGATTAATTGTACTCGATAATCACATTTCATTCTTATATGTATGATTAACATTACTCTGTATTGTACAAGTCTGCACACGCACGTGGTATTGAAGAGGGGGGGGGGGGTCTCCCCAACTTTTCCTAAAATAATGATTTGCCCCCATCCCAAGAGATTGTTTAATTGTTTAATTCCAGTTGCACCATTTTCCCAACAACAAATAAAAAGCAAAAATCTCCAAGAACTAAGAAAATGTAAAGGATTTGCTTCTTGATATACATGTAAGTACGTTAATGAGCGCATGATCTTTAAATAAGAAAATATCTGTCAAAGTAAGTTATGGCGTCACTGTATAAAATATATTATATGATAAATTTTGTTTAAGGAATTGTAAGTGGGCATACAACATTTAATTTAAAGAAAAAAGTACTTTCTCGGGAAATAAATAAATTTGGACAATAACACATTATCGGTGTTTTGAACGTAAATAACATATCACATACAGCTTATTCCGTACTCCACATAGGCCTATCAGGCGCAGATCCAGATATTTTAAAGGGGGGACAAGCACTGGGCTTTGACATATAACTACTGATTTAAAACTTTGCTTCATAAACATGTCACCCCTAAAAAAAAATTGTATTTATGTGCAACATAAAGTAATTTATACCATCTCTGTTATTCTACTGTTAATAGAGAATTTTTCCGGAATTTTCAGTGCCGCAGTTAATTCTTGCTTCTATAGATTTGTAACTTGATCTTGTTTATCTCTAGACCATGCATTCTGATGGAAACAAATTTTTGATTGGGATTTGTTTATGTATCTGAATTGATTTACATCCTCCCACCGTTACTTGGACTTATAATGTTGTCCGCTGCTCAATATTTTTTGGATATTGTTTACAAACATTGTGTATGGTGGGCAGCACTGGCTAAAAGTGCGCGCAAGGCACAAGTTACGTAACAGACTTTCCAAATGTCGATTTCTTATCAGCCGTGCAGTATCAAATGATTTATGTAAGAGAAACAGTGGACGAGATTTATCATGAGCTGATTGAATTTGTTATTAATCTACATTTAAAAATAACAATGGAAAAGCTACATCAACACAATGAACAATTTAAGCAGGATCCTGCACCCCTATATGGTCGGGGTTTAATTTTAGCAGGATCCTGTACTCCTATATGGTCGGAGTTTAATTTTAGCAGGATCCTGTACTCCTATATGGTTGGAGTTTAATTTTAGCAGGATCCTGTACCCCTATATGGTTGGGGTTTAAATTTAGCAGGATCCTGTACCCCTATATGGTTGGGGTTTAATTTTAGCAGGATCCTGTACTCCAATATGGTTGGAGTTTAATTTTAGCAGGATCCTGTACTCCTATATGGTTGGA